ACACATGTTTTTGTCACATGGATACCTTGTATAATGCTTAAGTCTGAGCTTTCAGTGTGCCCATCACCAGAATAGTGTTTACTGTACCCAATTAATTTTTTATTTTTTATCTCATAATTACTGGCCAGTGAACCATCCTTCGGATCATATATCATAAAGATCTTGGTTGGGGAGAATGACATAATACATGGAGTCTCTGCACGAAGGAGTATTCTCCATTGAAACTATGTGGAAAATAATAAAAAAAGAAAAAAAAAGAAAATACTCAATTGAGTGGCTGAAAGGGAAGAGACAGGGAGAGAGATTTGGAATGAATCACAAAGTAAATGTAAAATGTTAACGTTTGGGGATTCTGGAAGAAGGGTATATTACATAATAATTCTTCGTACTATTTTTGCAAGTAAGTATGAAATTATTTCCAACTAAAAAAGTTTTAAAAAGTATACAAATACTCTACATACGAAATACAATTAATGAAGTTGATCTAATATATCTAAATACAAAAACGTATATATATACTTACAAAAAGACATTTGGATTATTTACATGTTTGTGTACTGTGAATCATGCTGCTATCAACACTGGTTGGTATACAAATATTTACTCAAGTTCCATTTTTAATTCTTTTGGCTACAAACTGATAAGTGGGATTGCTGGATCATATGATAAGTCTACATTTAATCTTTTGGGGAACTGCCATATCATTTTCCACAGTGGCTGCACTGGTCTATATTCCCACCAGCAATGCACAGAGTTCCAATTTCTCTACCTCCTCATCAACAATTGTTATTGTCTTTTAAATTTTTTTTAGAATAGCCCTTCTAAAAGGTGTGAAGTGGTATCTTGTGGTTTGGGGCGCATTTCCTGATGATTAATGATGTTGGGCATCTTTTCATGTGTTTATTGGCTATTTATATATATCCTTTAGAGAAATATTAATTCAAGTCTTTTGTCTACTTTTTTTTAAATTCTTTTTTGAGACAGAGTCTCAAGCTGTCGCCCTCGTAGAGTGCAGTGGCTCAACCACTGGCACTCAACTCCTGGACTCAAGTGATTCTCCCGCCTCAGCCTCCCAAGTAGCTGGGATTACAAGTGCCAGCCACAACACCCAGCTGTTTTTTGGTTGTAGTTGTCATTGTTGTTTGGCAGGCCCCGGCTGGATTCAAACTTGCCAGCTCTGGTGTATGTAGTTGGTGCCTCAGCCACTTGAGCTACAGGCGCTGAGTCCCTTTGCCTACTTTTTAACCTTTTTGGTGCTGTGGACTAGTTTCATGGGAGACAATTTTTCCATGGACTAGGGTGGGGGTTGTTTCAGGATGATTCAAGTGCATTATATTTATTGTGCAGTTTATTTCTATATTATAATGCAGTGTAATATACAATGATAAAATTATATAACTCACCATAACATGAATCAGTAGGAGCCCAACTCAGATCAGACATTAGATTCTCATAAGGAGCGTGAGACCTAGATTGCTCCCATGCGGTTTATGGTAGGATTTGTGCCTCTATGAGGATCTAACCTTGCGGCTGATCTGACAGAAGGTGGAGCTCAGGCAGTGATGCCAGCAATAGGGAGTGGCTTGCCTGCCACTCCCCTCCTGCTGTGTAACCTGGTTCCTAACAGGGCATGAACTGGTACCAGTTCCTAACCTGGGGATTAGGGACTGCAACTGTATCAGATATATAATTTTGAAATATCTTCTATTCTACAGGTTGTCTTTTCATTATCTTGATAGTATCCTTCTACACATAAAAGTGTTTTTAACTTTCTTGATAGTATCCTTCTATGCATAAAAGTGTTTTTAACTTTTTTTTTTAGATAGGGTCTCACTCTGTTGCCCAGGCTAGAGTGTAGTGGTATCATTGTAGCACACTGCAACCTCAAACTCTCAGCTCGAGCCATCCTCCTGCCTCAGGCTCCTGAGTAGCTAGGACTGCAGGCACATGCTACTATGTCCAGCTAAGAGATGGACATATGGCCACAATGCCGAGCAAGAGATGGGGTCTTGCTCTTCCTCAGAGCGGTCTCAAACTCCAGAGCTCAAGCAATTCTCTCACCTCAGACTTCTAGAGTGCCAGGATTACAGACATGAGCCACCACACCCATCCATAAAAGTTTTAATTTTGAGGTATAGTTTATCATTTTTAATTTTGTTGCTGGTGCTTTTGGTGTCATATCTAAGAAATATCTGCTAAAGCCAATGTCATGATTTTCCCCGATGTTTTCTTTTCAGGGTTTTATAGTTTGCTCCATTTTCTTTCTTTTCTTTTTTTTTTTTTTTGAAGAGACAGAGTTTCACTATGTCGCCCTCGGTAGCGTGTCATGGCATCACAGCTCACAGCAACCTCCAACTCTTGGGCTTAAGTGATTCTCTTGCCTTAAGCCTCTCAAGCAGCTGGGACTACAGGCGTCCACCACAATGCCCGGCTATTTTTGGTTGCAGTGTCATTGTTGTTTAGCTGGTCCAGGCTGGGTTTGAACCCGCCAGCCTTGGTTTATGTGGATAGCATCGTAACCACCGTGCTATGGGAGCTGAGCCAGTTTACTTCATTTTCACTAAATTTTTTTATACAGCATAAGTTAAAAGTCCAACTTCATCCTTTTGCATGAACACTGACAGAAAAAAACAAGTTCCTTATTCCTTCAACTTTGCCTTCTCTCTCTAAAGCCCTAGAAAAGTAAAGCTTATGGAGTCAAGTGGCAAAGCAGAAAATCCCAGCTCCAGCCCTGGTAATTGGCACACATCCATATATGCACTTTACCCCCCTCTGAACCGTATGAAAATAAGTACAGCTACTATGCAAGTTCACCACTAAATATTTGTAGGCCTTGGTTAAAAAGAAGGACATTCTCCCATATTACCACAATATCATTATCACTAAGAAAATTCAAATATTACTGATTCAAATATTATTTAAATTATTCCTAAAATGTTATTTATATCTTTTTCTCACCCCAACCTGATCTAGGATCAGGGTTCTCATGTATTCTATTTAGTTATTTCTGTTTAGTCTCTTTTGAGATAGCCCTATAATTTGGGGGGCTTTATGAGTAATTTTTCTGAAGATTTAAGGCCAGAAAAATGTTCCACAGTGTGGTTTTGTCTCACTGTTGGCACATGATTAGATTCAGATTAAATACTTTTTGTCAATGCTAATACTACATGGTTAAATCTATATATTTCATGTTACTTCAAACTGGAGACATAAGATGTCTCCTCACTACTGGTGAAGCTAAGTTTGGCTACTTAACTTAAGTGGTGGTTGCTGGATCTTTCCAACGTAAAGATGCCTTTCCCTTGATAAATAATCTATGGGGTCATACCTTGAGACTGTGTGAATAGCAAATTTCCTTATGATCTTACTTCTAATAGTCTGAGCATCCACTGAAGATCATTACCAGAATCACTTATCATACCAGAGGTTACAAAATGGTTAGTTTTCTAATTCCACCATCACTAAGGACTTAAAAAAATTGATTGCTATAAACCATGAGCATCATTATATTTTTTCATGTTCAATTGTCCTAACTTTGGTCAATGGGAACCCCTTCAGACTGACTTTTTTTTTTTTTTTTTTGAGACAGTCTCACTATGTCGCCCTAGAGTACTGTGGCGTCACAGCTCACAGCAACCTCAAATTTTGGGCTTAAGTGATTCTCTTGCCTCAGCCTTGCAAGCAGCGGGGATCACAGACGCCTGCCACAATGCCCGGCTATTTTTTTGTTGCAGTTGTTGTTTAGCAGGCCCAGCCATGGTGCATGTTGCCAGCCCCCTACCCACTGAGGTATAGGCATTGCCCAGACTGACTCTTGTGTTCTTTTTCACATCAATCCATTAGTCTTTGAGCACTTTGCTTTCTTTTCTTTTCTTTTCTTTTTTTTTTT